TATCAGCGGTCGCTCTATATCTCCAGTAATCTGTCTCAGTGAGATGAGAGTGAAATGCTCCAAACATATAACGCAGTGATTGAGAGCTGAAGAAATAAAGGCTCCTCAGAAGATGTGAGATGTTCTGGAGGCTTGTGAAGATCATTCCTCCGCTGAGGAACAGTGAAAGTAAAGCTTCTGGAAACAAACGCTCCTCAAAAGATCCTGAGGATCAGATTTGAGACTCTAAAACATGATTGATGGAGAATCAAGTAACTGATGGAGTCACAGTCTGATCCAGAAATCTCTGAATGAAGGGAAGTGTGTTTCTGTGTTTGAGTGGCTCTATCTGCTGGTCGTAAAGTGAAACTGACACATGAGAGCACAAATAAAACATCAGCTTCAGTTATCACAAATGCATTCTTTATTATATTAATGTATGTTTTATTGTGTAAATGTAACTAATAAGAAATTAATATTTTTATTCATCAAGGATGCATTAAATTGATCAAAAGTGACAGTAAATACATCTATAATGTGACAAAATATTTATATTTCAAATAAACGCTGTTCTTCTGAACTTTCTGTTCTTCTGTGAATCCTGAAAAATAAAATGCATCACGGTTTCCACAAAAATATTAATGTTTTCAACATTGATAATAATCATAAATGTTTCTCAAGCAGCAAATCAGCATATTAGAATGATTTGTGAAGACTGGAGTAATGATGCTGAAGATCACAGGAATAAATTACAGTTTAACAAAAACAGCTATTTTAGTTTTTAGTTTTAGTTGTCCTGTATTTGTGCTGAAATAAATGCAGCTCTCGTGAGCAGTTTTAGTCTTTAGTTCCTGGTCTGTCTGTTCTATGGTCACTGCTGTTGGTCAGTGAGTCTCTGGTCTGTCCGGTCCTCAGTTTAATCCTCAAAAGCAGATGTCTTTCATATCTGCGGTGTTTTGAGCTTCAGCTCCTTGTGTGATTCAATATCTTCAGGACTCTTTCGGGGCTCTCTGAGATCATCTGCTGAATCTTCACACAAGAATATCTCAGAGACGTCATTAATCACAGGAGAGCTTCCAAGATCTCAGCAGATACTATTATCTAAACTAATTAGTTGAAATAAATTATATTCACTAAAAATATCACCTAAAAAGAACGGGTTTTTTTTCGTATTGTGATATAATTTTTCATTAATTAACTTCATAATGTTCTCATTACTGTAATGCGCTCAGATGGTTTTTCTTGTTGAGTTTTTTTTCTCAGTGTCTAAATAGTCCTAAAAATACACTTCATTTAATGCAAAATATATTTTTTTATTTACTCCTTTTGATTTTAAGGTTAAATATGATTTGGATGTGTTCTTACAGTTTTTCTCGATTGCTAACACACTATAACTGGTTCGTTTGGCACAGTTTTCCAAACCGTTCCTGAAACAAAGACACAACTTTTAACACATTTCACCTGTTTTCACACACACTCCAATTGTGTTTTCAGCTAAACTCTACACAAGAACGGCGTCGTTTTGCACAGGTTTAACCATGTTCTCATTTAGAAAACACAAACACACAACATAACTACCTCAAGAATCACAATATAAACTCAAACAGCACACATTTATCCCTGTGTGAACATTAAGCAGCAAAACTGATGACACACAGCTCAGAATCTCAGGATGATATGAACAAGAGCACAGCTGATTATGTGATTTGGAAAATTAATCCTACTAGTGGGAGACAAAGAGGAAGAGGAGGGGAAAAGCAAACTGAAGGGGATGTGTGTGTGTGTGTGTGTGTGTGTGTGTCTGTGTTTTTGTGACAAATGAGGACATAAATGTGTATAATGACAAAGGTATAACAGGTATTAGAAGGAGAAGGTGACTTTTCAGGACATTACCCCATGTCCCCACTTTTCAAAACGCTTATAAATCACACAGAATGGAGTGTATTGAAAATCTGAAATAGCAGAAAGTCTCCTGTGAGGGGTAGGTTTAGGGGTAGGGTTGGTGTAGGGCAATAGAATATACGGTCTGTACAGTATAAAAACCATTACGCCTATGGAGAGTCCCCACTTTTCACAAAAACAAACCTGTGTGTGTGTGTGTGTGTGTG